TGTCTTGACTGTCGTACAGTCTGACATTAATGACAACTGAGATCCCACAGTGTGACATGATCATCATGTTCGTACAGTCTGACAAGTACAATCCTAAAGGACTTTTAAAAAATCGCACAGTGTGAGCCCGGCTTTAGGATAGTTTGTGGCTTAGTCTTAGTGACTCCTCTTCACTACTCCTAACCTTTTGCAGATTTAGGAGCTAGTTTTAGTGCTTTGTGAAATGCTCTTAGAGCAAAAATGTAGGAGTCCTAAATTTAGGATTGACACACCCATTCTTTTTTATTAATTTCTCCTAAATCGGCGAGTTATGAGCTACTTTTAGCCTTAAGATGTTTTGTGAATACAGGCCCAGATCATTTGGTCTGAATTAGATGAGAAATAACTGAGCTGATAATATTGAAATCTCTGAATCTTGCAGACTTTCTGGAAAGCCTCTTGAGATCTTTTCTGAACTCTTGAAGAGATGCATATTCGATGACTGGTGTCTTTTTTTCTTAGGAGAAACATAAGAAAAACGTGAAACTTTAACAGAATCTTCTTCAGAAACGTCATCTGCTCTTAAATCACATTGTTCTCTAGAAGATATTATTGAGGTCTTAAAGCTTTTGAACAATACTGTGACAAGAAATTAATGCTTTTTTTTCAGCAAGGATGCGTTCAATTGATCAAAAGTGACAGTAAAGACATTTGTAATGTTAAAAACAATGTCTATTTCAAATAAAAGCTGTTCTTTTGAACTTTTTGTTCATCAAAGAATCCTGAAAATAAAATGTATTTTAATTTCCACAACTGTTCCAACATTAAACATATTTGGAAATGTTTATTGAGCAGCAAATCAGCAGATTAAAATGATTTCTGAAGGATCATGTGACACTGAAGACTGGAGTAATGATGCTGCAATTCAGCTTTGATCACAGGAATCAATAACGTTTTACAATATATTCAAAAACAGTTGGAATAATATTTCTAATTTGTTACTGTATTTTTGATCAAATACTGTAAATGCAGCCTTGGTGAGCAGAATAGACCTTTCAAAAATCTTACCAAACAGTTGTATCAACTTCGCCTTGATTTTCTATTAAAGTGCTTTCAGGAAAATAAAACTGGACATAATTGTTGACATGCATTAAGAGTAGAGCTATACAATCTGTTCCCCATTTAATATCATTGTCGTTCAAGAAACATTTGAGGTATCCCATTTGTGATTTTCCTTTTATACGGGCACAACGCTTTAAGCCTAAAAGTTTGAAATACCCAATTCAGGATACTGAAAGCGTGCATAATGTTTGACGAAACTCAAATGTGATTGAACTCTAATGTGACAAAGTTTCTACAATGAATACTGAGGCTTATAATGTCTGTTTCCTATTATTCCCGTCAAAGACGTGTTCAGATACGGCCCTGTTCATAAATTGCACAATTTCTCACTTATTACATTAAAACGAGGAAACGCTATCAGAAATTAAATCGCACAGGCTTCAAAATATTCTCTCTGCAGAAGTCAATATATACTCGAAAATAAACACTAGTATCCGCCTGCTCACTATATAATGGTCTGATATTAGTTTTCAAATCAACTGGCAGTATGAGAATAAGGTTTTTCACACACTGTTCAGCAGCCATGTCATTACCAACACACTCTTGTTTATCGCTTTCGCTCACCGGGAGCAACTAATGATTCCCTGCCAAAGTTTGAGGTGACTTTAAAAGTATCATTAGCTCGTGGTTTGGCATTTCCTCCATACGTTATGTTGTCCCTCGATCCACACGTGCCAGAAGCACTTTGGCTTTGGCTCGGGAGCCCATGCAGTGGTGGTCTGCCTGACAGCATGTTTCATCGAGCAGGTGTTAGAGATTTTTTTGGTGAAGTTGCGATGGGAAGGGCAGTTTAATGCTGAGATGGACAGATGGTGGAGATGGGCAGGTGCAAAATGCAAACTGGACAGAATGAAGGGGGGGATGCCATTTACACTGTAAAAATGAAATTCGTTTGCTGTTGGGTTGGGAACCCTACTGAAAAACAGCTTGGAGCAGTTTAACCTCCTCCATTTCTCCAATTCTGTTTTTTTAATTGTGGCATTGCACAATAAGTCATACAAACTATATATATATATATATATGTATCAATATTGATACTCAGATACTGTTTCAGTCATATGTACCTAGCAGAATGCTTTTTCATGATGACTTGAACCTGGTTTAGACTTTTTCTCCGCAGGGAAACTACATAAAATATCACGTTGAACATATTATAATGTAATGTAGCCTGTCAAGCACGAAGTTTTAAAAATAGATGGGAAATACTTTTTCACACTGACACTGACAAGTTTTCTGCTTGTTCGCAGTAATTAAATAGCTCACCTGAGTGCAAAACACGTGCCTGGAGGAAGTTTGAGGACAGCTCTCAAACATCCATCTGTCGCTTTGACGTAATTAAAGATGTCACATCCAGCGGCGACATGCACCATTAATTTCGCTTGGTGCACCTTCACGTCTTCGGTGCGGTTTGGGAAATCACACATCGCTGCGCTGGCTTAATGAAGCGTGTTTGATTTGGTGCGATGAGCTCCGTGTCTCCCAGTGCGGCTGTGTGAAATATGTCCTTCTCTCGTCCCACAGGTGATCATCTGCGGGTTTGTTCCCAGGGCTACACCTGCTGCACTTCAGACATGGAGGACAAACTCGGCCAGCAGAGTAAACTGGATTTCGAGAAATTAGTGGATGAGAACAGCCACACCATACGGACGATATTTACCTCCAGGCACAAAAAGTTTGACGGTAAGTGTGCAACAGTTGGTTTTCAGTTTGATTTGTCTTTTATAGCTTGATATTATCCAACTAGGCTTTTTTGGCTTAATTACCGGATAGTCCATAATAAACAGATGCAATGCAAAGCAATCGTACTTTCAAGTTGCACTGGAACTGATGTGTAATGACACCTAGATGAGTTGCAAAACAGAGGGGAAAAAGCAACAAATCTTTGTGGGGAATGTTTGGTGTTACTAGTAGCAAATTTGAGGTAGCAATTTGTGAACGAATCGTTCTGTTGATTCGGTTCTGATTACTGAATTGTTTGAACCCGTTCAGAAAACTGAACCTGCATATGAATCTTTGTGTAGTAAAGTGTTAAAAAATTGTATATGTTACTTACTGCTAGTGAATTTGAAGTAGCAATTTGTGAATGAATTGCTCTGCTGAGTCAAAGCTTTTGAATTAATAGTTTGAACCGGTTTATAAAGCTGAGCTTGCAGATTAATCTTTGTGCAGTAAAAAATTAAAATTGTGTAGTGTTACTAGTAGTGAGTTTGTTAACCAGTGTTGGGGAAAGTTACTTTTAAAAGTAATGCATTACAATATTGCGTTACTCCCTAAAAAGTAACTAATTATGTTACTTAGTTACTTTTTATGGAAAGTAATGCGTTATATTATTTGTGCGTTACTTTCGCTTTACTTTTTAAATATAAGCAGAGCTTGATTGTTTTTAATATAAGAAGTTCTGTTTATAGCAAATATAAAAGCCCTTTCACACCAAAAAGTGTAATGAATAAACCTCAGGCTGAAGCAAAAGTAAATTCACGTCTGTACAGTAGAACGCAGGAGAAGAAACACTCTTCAGCAATAAAAAAACAAAGCACAATTGTTAGTTTCTCTAAAGTCATTTTTGCTTATTAGTATGGTTGAACTGGATCATCAAAGGTCAGCAGCAAAGACATTGGTTAATAAAATGGGATTAGATACATTTGTGTTATTTAACATATTTAATTATTGCAGGTTTGCGTCATATTCTGAGTTTGCATTTCACTGTTTTAATTCATTTTGATGAATACTAAATCTGTTTTTTGTGAGTGGGATGAATTAATGCACATTCACATTTAGTCTAGAACTACAGTAACATCATGTTCACACAGCGCACACAACGCCTCTGTACTCCCGATTTCTCCCAATATGGGGACAGGAGAGCTGTCAGTCAATAAATGGGAAAACAAAGTAACTGTCATTACTTTTTTGAAAAAGTAACTCAGATATTTTCTTGTAAATTAAAAAAGTAATGCGTTACTTTACTAGTTACTTGAAAAAAGTAATCTGATTACGTAACTCACATTACTTGTAATGAGTTACCCCCAACACTGTTGTTAACAGATCATTCTGTTGAGTCACATATTTTGATTAAATTGTTTAAACCAGTTCAAAGAACTGAAAACAAAAGCAAAAAAAAATAAAATAAAAAAATTCGGTGTTACTAGTAGGAATTTGTAAATGAATCATTCTGTACAGTAGAAATTTGTGAACAAATCGTTCCGTTGAATCAGTTGAATTGGTTTAGAACACTGGTGTAAATGATCGTTTCACAGATTGGTTGCAGTAGTTCTTGAGTTAGCAGCTTAATTGAAAGTTTGAAACAAAATGTTTCAAAGAACTGATCCACGCAAATACATCAGAAAACACGTGCTACTTGGTTTCAACGACTTAATTTCTCATGGATAAATTCTCAAGTTTTTGATTGGCCAAGTT